ACTGCCATGGCTAGGACTTCCAAAACTATGTTGAATAATAGTGGCGAGAGTGGACATCCTTGCCTTCTTCCTGATCTTAGATGAAATGCTTGCAGTTTTTTCACCATTGAGAATGATGTTTGCTGTGGGTTTGTCATATATGGCCTTTATTATGTTGAGGTAGGATCCCTGTATGCTAACTTTCTGGAGAGGTTTTATCATAAGTGGGTGTTGAATTTTGTCAAAAGCTTTTTCTGCATCTATGGAGATGACCATATCGGTTTTATCATTCAGTTTGTTAATATGGTGTATCACATTGATTGATTTGTGTATATTGAAGAATCCTTGCATCCCTAGGATAAATTCCATGTGATCATGGTGTATAATCCTTTTAATGTGTTGTTGGATTCTGTTTGCTAGTGTTTAGTTGAGGATTTTTTAATCTATATTCATCAGTGATATTGGTCTGTAATTTTTTTTTTTTTTTTTGTAGTATCTTGTCTGGTTTTGGTATCAGGGTGATGGTGTCCTCATAGAATGAGTTTGGGAGTGTACCTTCTTCTGCAGTTTTTTGGAAGAGTTTGAGAATAGGTGTTAGCTCTTCACTAACTGTTTGATAGAATTCACCTGTGAAGCCATCTGGTCCTGCACTTTCGTTTGTTGAAAGATTTTTAATCACAGTTTCGATTTCATTACTTGTGATTTGTCTGTTCATATTTTCTATTTCTTCCTGGTTCAGTCTTGGAAGGTTATACCTTTCTAAGAATTTGTCCATTTCTTCCAGGTTGTCCATTTTATTGGCATAGAGTTGCTTGTAGTAGTCTCTTAAGATGTTTTGTATTTCTGCGTTGTCCATTGTAACTTCTTTTTAATTTCTAACTTTATTAATTTGAGGCTTCTCCCTCTTTTTCTTGATGAGTCTGGCTAAAGTTTTATGAAGCTTGTTTATCTTCTCAGAGAACCACGTTTTAGTTTTATTGATCTTTGCTATTGTTTTCTTTGTTTCTATTTCATTTATTTCATTTATTTCTGCTCTGATCTTTATGATTTCTTTCCTTCTACTAACTTTGGGTTTTGTTTGTTCTTCTTTCTCTGGTTCCTTTAGGTGTAAGGTTAGATTGTTTATTTGAGATTTTTCTTGTTTCTTGAGGTAGGATTGTATTGCTATAAACTTCCCTCTTAGAGCTGCTTTTGCTGCCTCCCAAAGGTTTTGGATTGTTGTGTTCTCATTGTCATTTGTCTCTAGGTATATTTTGATTTCCTCTTTGATTTCTTCAGTGATCTCTTGATTATTTAGTAACATATTGTTTAGTGTCTATGTGTTTGTGTTTTTTACATTTTTTTCCCTGTAACTTATTGTTAATCTCATAGCGTTCTGGTTGGAAAAGATGCTTGATATGATTTCAATTTTCTTAAATTTACCAAGGCTTGATTTGTGACCCAAGATATGATCTATCCTGGAGAATGTTCCACGTGTACTTGAGAAGAAAGTGTAATCTGCTGTTTTTGGATGGAATGTCCTATAGATATCAATTAATTTCATCTGGTTTAATGTGTCATTTAAAGCTTGTGTTTCCTTATTAATTTTCTGGCTGGATGATCCGTCCGTTGGTGTAAGTGAGGTTTTAAAGTCCCCCACTATTATTGTGTTACCGTCAATTTCTTTCTTACAGCTGTTAGCATTTGCCTTATGTATTGAGGTGCTCCTATGTTGGGTGCATATATATTTATAATTGTTCTATCTTCTTTTTGGATTGATCCCTTGATCATTATATAGTGTGCTTCCTTGTCTCTGGCAACAGTCTTTAATTTAAAGTCCATTTTATCTGATATGAGTATTGCTCCTCCAGCTTTCTTTTGATTTCCATTTGCATGGAATATCTTTTTCCATCCCCTCATTTTCAGTCTGTATGTGTCCCTAGGTCTGAAACGGGTGTCTTGTAGACAGCATACATACGGATCTTGTTTTTGTATCCTTTCAGAGAGCCTGTGACTTTTGGTGGGAGCATTTAATCCATTTACATTTAAGGTAATTATCGATATGTATGTTCCTATTACCATTTTCTTAATTGTTTTATGTTTGTTTTTGTAGGTCCTTTTCTTCTCTTGTGTTTCCCACTTAGAGAAGTTCCTTTAGCACTTGTTGTAGAGCTGGTTTGGTGGTGCTGAATTCTCTTAGCTTTTGCTTGTCTGTAAAGCTTTTGATTTCTCCATCAAATCTGAATGAGACCTTTGCCTGGTAGAGTAATCTTGGTTGTCGGTTCTTCTCTTTCATCACTGTAAGTATATCATGCCACTCCCTTCTGGCTTGTAGAGTTTCTGCTGAGAAATCAGCTGTTAACCTTATGGGAGTTCCTTTGTATGTTATTTATCATTTTTTCCTTCTTGTTTTTAATAATTTTTCTTTGTCTTTAATTTTTGTCAATTTGATTACTATGTGTCTTGGTGTGTTTCTCCTTGGGTTCATCCTGCCTGGGACTCTCTGCATTTCCTGGACTTGGGTGGCTATTTCCTTTCCCATGTTAGGGAAATTTTTGACTATAATCTCTTCAAATATTTTCTCGGGTCCTTTCTCTCTCTGTTCTCCTGCTGGGACCCCTGCAATGTGAATGTTGGTGCATTTAATGTTGTCCCAGAGGTCTCTTAGGCTGTCTTCATTTCTTTTCATTCCTTTTTCTTTATTGTGTTCCACAGCAGTTAATTACACCATTCTGTCTTCCAGGTCACTTATCCATTCTTCTGCCTCAGTTATTATGCTGTTGATTCCTTCTAGTGTATTTTTCATTTCAGTTATTGTATTGTTCATCTCTGTTTGTTTGTTCTTTAAATCTTCTAGGTGTTTGTTCTTTAATTCTTCTAGGTCTTTGTTAAACATTTCTTGCATATTCTCCATCTTTGCCTCCATTCTTTTTCCAAGGTCTGGATCATCTTCACTGTCATTCTGAATTCTTTTTCTGGATGGTTGCCTATGTCCACTTCATTTAGTTGTTTTTCTTGGGTTTTATCTTGTTCCTTCATCTGGTACACAGTCTTCTGCCTTTTCATCTTGTCTATGTTTCTGTGAATGTGGTTTTCATTCCACAGGATAGAGGATTGTAGTTTTTCTTGCTTCTGTTGTCTGCCCTCTGGTGGGTGAGGCTATCTAAGAGGCTTGTGCAAGCTTCCTGATGGGAGGGGCTGATGGTGAGTAGAGCTGGGTGTTGATCTGGTGGGCAGAGCTCAGTAAAACTTTAATCCACTTGTCTGCTGATGGGTGGGGCTGAGTTCCCTCCCTGTTGGTTGTTTGTCCTGAGGCAAACCAGCACTGGAGCCTACAGGCCCTTTGGTGAGGCTATTGGCTGACTCTGTGAGGGCCCCCCCCCCCCCACCAAGGAGTACTTCCTGGAACTTCTGCTTCCTGTGTCCTTGGTCCTGCAGTGGGCCACAGCTGCCCCCCACCTCTTTAGGAAACCCTCCAACACTAGCGCATATGTCTGGTTCACTCTCCTATGGGGTCACTGCTCCTTCCCCCAGGTCCTGATGTGCACATTACTTTGTGTGTGCCCTTCAAGAGTGGAATCTCTGTTTCCCCCAGACCTGTCAAAGTTGTGCAATCAAATCCCGGTAGCCTTCAATGTCTGATTCTCTGGGTATTCCTCCTCCCCTTGCCAGACCCCCAGGTTGGGAAGCCTGATGTGGGGCTCAGAACCTTCACTCCAGTTGTTGGACTTCTGTGATATAATTGTTCTCTAGTTTGTGAGTCACCCACCCAGCGGCTATGGGATTTGATTTTATTGTGGAAGCTCCTCCCATCTCACTGTGGCTTCTCCTTTGTCTTTGGATTTGGGGTATCTTTTTTGGTGATTACCAGTGTCTTCCTGTCGATGACTGTTCAGCAGTTAGTTGTGATTCCGGTCCTTTCACAAGAGGGAGTGATCACACGTCCTTCTACTCTGCCATGTTGAACCAATGTGGGGGCATTCTTTTTAAGTATGATACTCAAGAAAGAAAGAAAAAGATTGACAGATTTATATGAAAAATTAGAAACATCTGTACATGTAAGAAAGAAAGCCAAATGACAATTGGAAAATATATTTTGAAGTAAATAAAATAGATTATGGATTACTATCCTGAATACATAAAAGACTCATGGGACTTCTCTGGTAGTCCAGTGGTTAAGACTTCACTTTCCAATGCAGGGGGTGCGGGTTCGATCCCTGGTTGGAGAGCTAAGATCCCACATGCCTTATGGCCAAAAAACCAAAGCATAAAACAGAAGCAATATCATAAAAAATTTAATAAAGAATTTAAAAAAATGGTCCACATGAAAAAATGTTTTAAAAAATACATAAAATGCTCATAAAGATCAACTTAAATATAGAAAAATTGGGTAAATTATATGAACAACTAATTCACAAAAGAAAAAATATTAAATGACCAACCAAAATAAAAAAAATTTCTAATAATCAAAGAAATAAGTGTAATTAAAACAATGATGTCCTTTTTTTTCACTTATCAACCTGGCAATGTATGGCAGATACTGTTGGTTGCTTACCCCAAAGTCACCACCCTGCCTTCTTATTTGCTAACAGAATCATAGCTATGTTTTCAAATTGGGTAAGGTTTAACGTTTTCAATTAAGGCACTTCTAGTCCCTAGTTTAAGGGTAAATCTGAAGTCTATTTAGGTTGTTGAAATAGAAGGATAAGTCAGCTAGAAGACTTCCAGGAAAAACTCCTCCCTGGACTTTCAACATTGCTGAGCATTCCTATGAAATTTCTCCAGTTTGTTCACTTTCCCACTTTCTAAGACAATTATACCACACCTTCCCCGATAGCCCCTAAATTCTACATTTGCATTCCCACATGAGCTGGTGACCTTGCCTTGTATTTGAATGAGAAAAAAAGAATCAATCAGAGAGAATCTCTTCATTTTCACACCATCAACTCTGTCAACCTAATAGAAGCACCATTGCCTTGTCCCCCATCAAACTTCAAGCCCTTCACTTGGATTCTACCCCTTCAACTTCCTCAAGGACTTACCTCCTGCATTTGTTTCCTTCTCTCCTGTATTAGCTCTTTCACTCTACTCGATTCTTTTTTTTTCCTACTTGATTCTTTACTTGATCTTCCACACAAATGTACACCATTATCTCCCATCCTAAAAACAACACAAAAACAAACCCATAAAAACTTCTTTGGACTCCATATGACCTTCTGGCTACCACCTCATTTCTTAGCTCCCCTTCACAGCAAAACATCTTGAAAACTTGTCTTAGTCACTGTTTAACTTCACCTTTTCTCCTCCAGCTGCTCTAGTTAATCTTGGGTCTGCACTAATCCATTAAGACTGTCTTGTCAATGTTATTAGTGACTGCCAGTGTTTATAAATCTTACTGTTTCTTTTTTATTCTTTACTTGATCTTTTAGTAGCTGTGTATTCCTGGTGTCTCTTCCTTTCCTTATAAATACACCAGTCCTGTGGGTTAGAGTTCCACACTTATGACCTCATTTAACCTTAATTACTTCCGTAAAGGCTCTATCCAATTACAATCTCATTGTGGGTTAGGGCTTCAACCTATGAAATTTGGAGTGGGACACACAATTTTGTACATAAGAGTTATTTTAGTTTTAAATACCATCTACAGGCCATAAAAAAAAAAAATCCCTGACTCTGATCTCTCTCTGAAATTCCGGACTTTTATCTCCAAATGCCTCCTTAACATCTTGCATGGATATCTAAAAGCACCTACATTTAACATGGCCAAAACAGGCCCCCTCCCTCTCCTGCTTCTTCCACCACTTTCTAATTTTTTCCATCTTAGTCAATAGCCTCTCCATCTTCTTTGTAGTTCAAGCCCCAAATATAAGAATTCCTGTCTTTCCCCCATCTTCCACAGCCAATGTACCAGCAGTTTCTATCAATTCTACTTCTAAAACTTTCCAAATCTGTCCATTTCTCTTCTTGTCTCCTATTCTCAGGTCAGTACAAGTCTCCCTTTTTTCTCCCTTGGACAATAGCTTCCTAATTGATCTTTCTGATTCTACTTTTGCTTCATTATGATCCATTCTCATAGTAGCTAAATGATCTTGTAAAAAGATCTTGTCACTCCTCTGTTTTAAAATCTTCCAATGTTGTGACTCAGAAGTCTGCACGCCACAGCTAAAAGATCCCACATTCTACAAAGAAGATCCTGCGTGCCACAACTAAGACCCAGCAAGCCAAATAAATAAATAAATAAAATCCTCCAATGGATCATAGACTTAAATGTAAAAGCAAAATAGACAAAAGATTTGAATGGGCACTTCACCAAAGATGTTAAATGGATGGCAAAGAAATGCTTGACATCATTAGATATTAGGGAAATGTCAACTAAAACTACAATGAGATCTTGTCACTCCTCTGCTTAAAACCCTGTAGTGAGTATTGGACCTAAATGTAAAACAACAACAAAAACAAAATGGTAAATGGTTTAAATGGACACTCACCGAAGATGGTTAATAAATGGCAAATAAGCCCATGAAAAATGTTCAGTATCATTAGCCATTAGGGAAACGACAACCAAAACCAGAGTGAGATCTTGTCATTTCACTGCTCAAAACCAGTCCCAGCTTCCATCATTTCTCACTTGTACTATAGTCTTCCAGCTGATCTCTCTGCTTCCACTTTTGCTTCCATTATACCTTGTTTTACTTCGCTTCATTTTATTGCACTTCACAGATACTACATTTTTTACAAATTGAAGGTTTGTGGTGGCCCTGCATCAAGTAAGTCTATCGGTGTCATTTTCCAACAGCATTTGCTCACTTCATGACTCTGTGTCTCATTTTGGTAATTCTTACAATATTTCAACCTTTTAAATTATTCTTGTATTTGTTGTGGTGATCTGTTATCAGTGATCTTTGATGTTACTATTGTAATTATTTTGGAGAACCATAAACCGCACCCACATAAGACTTCAAACTTAACTGATAAATGCTGTGTGTGTTCTGACTGCTCCAGGGACCAGCCATTCCCCCATCTCTCTCCCTCTCCTTGGGCCTCCTTATTTCCTGAGACACAACAATATTGAAATTAGGCCAATTAATAACCCTACAATTACGTCCAAGAGTTCAAGTGATAGGAATTCTTACTTTAAATCAAAAGCTAGAAATGATTAAGCTTAGTGAGGAAGGCATGTCAAAAGCTGAGATAGGCTCAAAGCTAGGCCTCTAGCCAAGTTGTGAATACAAAGGAAAAGTTCCTGAAGGAAATTAAAAGTGCTACTCCAGTGAACACAGGAATGATAAGAAAGCCAAATAGCCTTATTGCTGATATGGAAAAAGTTTTAGTGGTTGGGATAAAAGATCAAGCCAAACACAACATTCCTTTAAGGCGAAGCCTAATCCACACCAAGGTCTTAACTCTCTTCAATTCTCTGAAGGCTGACAGAGGTGAAGAAGCTACAGAAGAAAAGTTTGAAGCTAGCAGAGGTTGGTTCATGAGCTTTAAGGAAAGAAGCCATCTCTATAACCTAAAAGTGCGAGGTGAAGCAGTAAGTGCTGATAGAGAAGCTGCAGCAAGCTATCAAGAAGACCTAGCTAAGATAATTAATGAAGGTGGTTCCACTAAACAACAGATTTTCAATGTAGACATAACAGCCTTCTATTGGAAGAAGATGTCATCTTGGGCTTTCATAGCTAGAGAGGAGAAGGCAATGCCTGGCTTCAAAAGCTTTGAAGGACAGGCTGACTCTCTTGTTAGGGTCTCGTGCAGCTGGTGAATAAAAGTTGAAGCCAATCCCCATTTACCATTCCGAAAATCCTAGGGTCCTTAAGAATTATGCTGAATCTACTCTGCCTGTGCTCTAGAAATGGACCAACAAAGCCTGGGTGTCAGAACATCTATTTACAACATGGTTTACTGGATATTTTAAGCCCACTGTTGAGAACTACAGCTCAAAAAAAAAAAAAAATTACTGCTCATTGACAATGTACTTGGCCACCCAAGAGCTTTGATGGATTTGTGGACTTGTACAATGAGATTAATGTTGTTTTCATGCCTGCTAACACAACATCCATTCTGCAGCTCATAGATCAAGAAGTAGTTTTGAATGTCAAGTCTTGTTATTTAAGAAATACATTTCATAAGGCTACAGCCACCACAGAAAGTGATTTCTCTGATGGATCTGGGCAAGGTAAACTGAAAACCTTCTGGAAAGGATTCACCATTCTAGATACCATTAAGAACATTCATGATTCATGGGAAGAGGTAAAAATAGCAATATTAACAGGAGTTTGGAAGAAGTTGAATCCAACCCTCATGGATGACTTTGAGGGGCTTTGAGGACTTCAGTGGAGGAAGTAACTGCAGACGTGGTGGAAATAGCAAAAGAACTAGAATTAGAGGTGGAGACTGAAGATGTAACTGAATTGCTGCAATCTCATGATAAAACTTTAGTGGGTGAGTAGTTGCTTCTTATGGATGAGCAAAGAAAGTGGTTTCTTAAGATGGAATCTACTCCTAGGGAAGAAGGTATGATGATTGTTGAAATGACAACAAAGCACTGAGAATACTACATTCACCTAGTTGCTAAAGCAGTGGCAGGGTTTGAGAGGATTGAATCCAATTTTGAAAGAAGTTTTACTGTGGGTAAAACGCTATCTAACAACGTTGTATTTCACAGAGAAACTATTTGTGAAAGAATCAGTCTATGTGGCAAACTTTATTGTTGTCTAATTGTAAGAAATTGCTACAGCCACCTCAATCTTCAGCAAAACATGTAGATAACTTACACAACTCAATATCAAAAAGCAAACAATCCTATTCAAAAATGGGCAATAGATCTGAATGGAGATTTTTCCAAAGAAGACATGCAGATATCTAACAGGTACATGAAAAGATGCAAATCAGGAAATCATCATCAGGAAAATGCAAATCAAAACAGCAATGAGATATCACCTTATACCTGTTAAAATGGTGAGTATAAAAAAAGATACAGGGCTTCCCTGGTGGCGCAGTGGTTGAGAGTCCACCTGCCGATGCAGGGGACGCGGGTTCATGTCCCAGTCCGGGAAGATCCCACATGCCGCGGAGCAGCTGGGCCCGTGGGCCATGGCTGCTGAGCCTGTGCGTCCAGAGCCTGTGCTCCGCAATGGGAGAGGCCACAACAGTGAGAGGCCCACATACCGCAAAAAAAAAAAAAAAAAAAAAAAGATACAAAAGAAGAAGTGTTGGCAAGGATGTGGAGAAAAGGAAACACTTGTGCACTGTTGGTGGGAGTGTAAACTGTTGCAGTCACTGTGGAAAACAGTATAGATGTTTCTCAAAAAATGAAAAATGAAAATGCAAGGGCATTATGCTAAGTGAAATAAGTTAGAAAGAGAAAGACAAATACTGTATGATCTCATATATGTGGAATCTTAAAAAAAAAAACAACAAAAAACCCCAAGCTCATAGATGCAGAGAACAGTTGACAAGAGGTGGGGGATGAAGGGGGTGGGAGAAATGGGTGAACTGTTTTTGTTTTGTTTTAGTTTAAATAAATTGAAAGAAAAAAGCCAAAAAAAGAAAAAACAGCTAACCGAATTTAGGACTCCAAGGATATTTGCAAATTGTTAGTTCCTTTCTCATAGCTAGCCAATAAATCAATTAAATTTTTTAAAAAAGGACTTTGAATCATACTTTGCACCACATACAAAACTAACTCAAAATGGAGCATAGACCTAAATTTAAAATCTAAAATTTTGAAACTTCTGAAAGAAGTTGGGAGAACATCTTTGTTATCTTGGGTTAGGTAAATATTTCTTAGATTGGGAATAGAAAGTATGAATCATAAAAGAAAAAGGTTCATAATTTAGACTTCATTAAAATTAAAAACTTCTCTTCAAAAGACTACACATAAATACTTGTATTTAAATGTTTATAGCAGTTTAAACTGGAAACAGTACAAATGTTCTTTCATTGGTAGATAAATAAATTATGGCATGCTCAAGCAATGGAATACTACTCAGCAACAGAAAGGGATAAACCACAGGTCCATGCAACAACATGAATTAATCTCAGTGCTAAGTGAAAGGAGCCAGACACCAAAAAATTACACAGTGAATGTAGGACAGGCTTCAGGGGTGTTTGACCTGTGTAGTCACATGGGCTCCATGCTCAGAAGGGCCCTGTGCTTG